ATGAATGAACGGATAAAGAGATGGATGGATGAATCTAAGCATGGACATATGGATAAATGGATGAACGGATAAAGAGGTGGATGAATCTAAGCATGGATAAATGAATGAACGGATGGATGGATGAACGGATAAAGAGATGGATGGATAAATCTAAGCATGGACATATGGATAAATGGATGAACGGATAAAGAGATGGATGGATGGATCTAAGCATGGACATATGGATAAATGGATGAACGGATAAACTGATGGATGGATGAATCTAATCATGGATAAATGAATGAACGGATGACGCAGTGGCGGGTCCCGGCCACCGGGGGGCAGCAGAGCCCCTCCCAGCCTGAACTCCACTCATACAGAAGAAGCCACCGAGGTGACGTCATCACGTCCGCTAAGCCCCGCTGATCCGAGCTCGCGCGTGCCGCCTGATCTGATCCGGGTTTCCGTCCCTTCCGGGCCGGAAGCGGGCGTCCGTTCACGGCCGTGCGGAGCTCTGAGTCCGGCGGGGAGCGGGCCACCGGGACCGGGCCAGCTCCGGGTGTGAGTTAGCAGGAAGCACCGACCCCCCGGAGCCATGCAGCGGGCGGAGGAGGGCCGGGAGGGCGGGGAGAGGCGGGAGGGGGAGGGGGGGGAGGCCACGGTGGACGTCAAGTTCACGGACCTGCCCAACGCGCTGATCGCCTGCAGGGTGCCCGAGGACCTGTTCCAGGAAGCCCGCAAGGTAGGAGCCGCGGAGGGCCTGGGGGGGGGGGGGAGAACCGGAACCGGAACCTCCGGGGGTTCTGGTGGTGGGACAGAACCTGTGGGGGGTTCTGGTGGACCAGAGGTTCTGATGGACCGGAACCTGTGAGGGGTTTTTGTGGACCAGAACCTGTTGGGGGTTCTGGTGGACCAGAACCCCCAACAGGTTCTGATGGTCCGGAACCTCTGGGGGATTCTGGTGGGACAGAACCTGTGGGGGGTTCTGGTGGACCGGAACCTGTGGGGGGTTCTGGTGGTCCGGAGGTTCTGGTGGACCGGAACCTGTGAGGGGTTCTGGTGGACCAGAGGTTCTGTTGGACCGGAACCTGTGAGGGGTTCTGGTGGACCGGAGGTTCTGGTGGAACATCAGAACCCCTCACAGGTTCTAATGGTCCAGATGTTCTGATATAGCAGCCTGTTAGAGGTTCTGGTGGAGCAAAACCCCGAAGAGGTTCTGGTGGACCGGAACCTGTGAGGGGTTCTGATGGACCAGAACCTGTGGGGGGTTTCATCAGAACCTGTGAGGGGTTCTGGTGGACCAGAGGTTCTGGTGGACCGGAACCTGTGAGGGGTTCTGGTGGACCGGAACCCCAATCCAGGTTCTGGTGGACCGGAACCTGTGAGGGGTTCTGGTGGACCGGAACCTGTGGGGGGTTCTGGTGGACCGGAGGTTCTGGTGGACCGGAACCTGTGAGGGGTTCTGGTGGACCGGAACCTTTGAGGGGTTCTGATGGTCCAGAACCTCTCACAGGTTCTGGTGGAACATCAGAACCCCTCAGAGGTTCTAATGGTCCAGAGGTTCTGATATAGCAGCCTGTTAGAGGTTCTGGTGGAGCAAAACCCCTCAGAGGTTCTGGTGGACCGGAACCCCCCGGATGTTCTGATGGTCCAGAACCCCCCAGAGGTTCTGATTGAGGAAGGCTTTTTCCCTCCAGTGGGTTTCTGGGTCAGAACCACAACAGAACCTGTGAGGATCCAGAAAACCCCGGTGGGTCCAGCTCAGTGGTCCTGTTCAGGTTCTGTTCGGAGGTGGGGGGGGGGGCGAAGGGGGGTAGTCCCTGGTCCCTGGTCCCTAGTCCCTGGTCCCTGGTCCCTAGTCCCTGGTCCCTGGCCCCTAGTCCCTGGTCCCGGGTCCCTAGTCCCTAGTCCCTGGTCCCTGGCCCCTGGTCCCGGGCCCCTAGTCCCTGGCCCTTAGTCCCTAGTCCCTGGCCCCTGGTCCCTACTCCCTGGCCCCTAGTCCCTGGTCCCTGGCCCCTAGTCCCTAGTCCCTAGTCCCTGGCCCCTAGTCCCTGGTCCCTGGTCCCTGGTCCCTGGCCCCTAGTCCCTGGTCCCTGGCCCCTAGTCCCTGGCCCGTAGTCCCTGGTCCCTAGACCCTGGTCCCTGGCCTCTGGTCCCTGGTCCCTAGACCCTGGTCCCTGGCCTTTGGTCCCTGGCCCCTAGTCCCGGGCCACTAGTCCCGGGCCCCTAGACCCTGGTCCCGGGCCCCTAGTCCCTGGTCCCTAGTCCCTAGTCCCTGGTCCCGGGCCCCTAGTCCCGGGCCCCTAGTCCCTGGTCCCTGGCCCCTAGTCCCTAATCCCTGGTCCCTGGTCCCGGGCCCCTAGTCCCTGGCCCCTGGTCCCGGGCCCCTAGTCCCGGGCCCCTAGTCCCTGGTCCTTG